GGCATGTCCCACCGGGAGGAGGCCCCGGGGCAGACTGTGTGTGTGTTAAATACGCACCACAGCACTCAGGACAATGTTGGTAGACTGAAATACAGTGAGATCAGGAGGAGGCGTCGGCTTTATCTAAGGGCTCCATTTTACTGCACAATTACTTTTTTCACACATGTGGTGAAAAGTAGTTTACGTTGAATCCTCACAGCGGCCTCTGTAAGGTGACGTCTGCTGTTCAAAACGACTCTATAGCTCTCTTGAAATTAAGCTGGGTCCTAACTCAAGGACAGAAAGACTTACTGATGAAGACGTGGTCATCAGGAGGGTAGCGGAGGATGATGGGACTGCTCAGAGCGGCAGTGTGGTTTCTAGCGGTGGGTGAAGCGATGCTGGTTAACAGGACACTCTGAGTAGGAGGCTGCTCCACAGAAGATGCTCTGTGAGTGTAGCCATGCTCTTCAAACTGCTTGGACGTGATCTCCTGGGAGGATGGGGCTAAAGCAAGAAAAAGTGTGGATTTATTACTTCATTAGGGGATTTTGTCACATAGCAAACATGGATAAGAAGAAGAGTGTAATACCTGAGCTGTAGGACTCGGGTCTCTGTTCCCTGATGATTGCAGAGAGAAAGTCAATCTCCTCGTCGAGTTCAGGGTATGGGCTCGCTTTATCTGGAGGAACACAACACCAGGATCTTACCATCTTCATCTAAACATTTGTTTACTAAAGCTCAGGGCCACCACCGAGCAGTATCTTAGCTGTTCCTGGGACTGCGCTCTTCTGGACAGAGATCTCTGATTGGGGGTCACTGCACCAAGTACTCCAGTTACCATGGGGACCACCGTTACCTCCACCCACATCTTCTCCAGCTCTTCTCTGAGCCCTTGGTACGTCTCCAGCTTCTCCTGCTCCTTCTTCCTGATGTTGCTGTCATTCAGCATCGCTACATCGATCACTACGGCCGTCTTCTTCTGCTTGTCTACCACCACTGTCATTTTCTCCGTCTGTATCTGGAATAGGATGATCGGTCGGCCATTCTCGACCACGCTGGGAGCGCATCGTTACACAGACTGCACATGGATGGGCCTCTCATGGATCAGGGAGCTGGACTTGTCTCCTACTTATACATCCAACCACAGTATGGAGTAGGTGGTGTGACCAGAGCTGTGCTGATGTACACAGGGGGAACAGTTTTAATAGCACTGTTGTTTGCTCCTCCTACACTCATATACACCAACACATGCACCCAACATATCACTCCCAACAGTGACGAGTGGGAGGGGCTATGGGCTCCTGCATCTTCGGTATGTTTGTATGTGTGTGAGACATGCCAGTGCTCCAGGAGAGCTGACCTCTGGCTCTCTAGAGCTCTTGCCCTTTGACCTTTGACCATGAGGGCTCACTGAGTCTGAGGCCTCCCTCCTTCTTCTGCTGGAGTGGTCACGCAGTTGTCATGGAGACGTATGGCTTTGAGTCTTCAGTACCGTTGG